ATTAATATATTATAAGATTAATATATTATTTGGAAATCATATTATTTAATTAGTATTGATCATAAACTAATTTGGTGATCAAAAGGGACGGATTAAATGAATGGGGATTGATATTGCAAATCACTGATAGTTGCAATTGGGCTGATGGATCACCTTGGAATAAGATGGATGAATTCTATGGGAAGCCCATGAAGAATTTGTCCAAGGAGTATTCTAGAAAGTGTCCACGGACTGCTTAAGGCTTACGCAGTCATATTAGGCTTTCTACCTAAAACCCTAGCAACCATAAGTATAAATAGACCCCATGACTAAGGATTTTTAGCCCTATGCTTTATGAAACCCTAAGGTGGCCGATTTCTACCTCTCCAAGTTATCCTTTATGTGTAGAGTGTTTGTGACTCCATTAGAGGTGCAACAATTGGGGAACTAAGCTTTTAAGGTCAAGGATTGTTTTTGTTATTACAATATAACAAGCAAGGTAATGTTCTAACCCTAGTTTATATATGATTTTGAAATTGGAATCTAGTCCATATGATTATTGCTTTGGAGTTTGTATTTTCATGTTCAATAGAGAAAAACTTAGATCCAAAACAATTAGGATTGCATGTACACCATAGGAATGTTGTAGTGCTTAAAACCCATCATAAAGTTGGTGACTTTAAGCCTTAGAAAGGTTAGACATGTCTAAAACTCATAAACTCTAATCCACTAATCACAAAGGTCCATATATCTCATGCATTGAGAGAACTTAACGACCAAGATGTCATTTTTGTAAACCTAAACGTCTAAAAACACCTAGAAGGATAGGAGCTATGCTTTGGAGTTCAACAAACTCCTGAAGCTTCAAGCTTGGGGCCATAAAACCCTAGAAATGGACCAAAACATGAACTATTAAAAACATAAGAAAGCTTCAAGCTTGATACCTTTGGATGATGCATCAATCACAGAAAAACTCAGATCCAAGAGCTTGGATACCAAATTTCCTTCCTTTAAAGCTCCTTCTTCAAAAAAGAACTATAAGCCACAAATACTCACACAAGCTATGTAAATGGGATTTAGGGTTTGAGGAGAGTTAGAGGCTGGAAATGAGGCCATCTTGTTCCTTAAATGGGGGCACACAAGTCATTAGGGTTTACACTTTGAGCTTAGTACGCCCAACGTACCCTCTGGTACACCCAACGTACTAGGTGGCCTCCTCGTTCATACTACACACATGAGTACGCTAAGCATACACATTCATACGCCCCACATACTCAATTGCCACCTTTTCTCAATTAAGGACTAGTTTTGACAAATGCAATAAAAGTTAGGGTCATCAATGCATACCTTATCTCAAGATGTTACAAATATTGTATGGTAGAGTATATTCTAATAGTTAAAGCTTGTTAATAAATTTTGTTGAATGGTGTGGTAAGCTTATATAGTTGAAACCATAGTTGACTATGGTTAATGTAATAGTTGGTTGTTAGAGGTTGATAAACTAAGATTGTGTATGTGACTATTATTAAATAATGAGTTAGTCATTGTTAACTGAAAGACTAAGTTTGTATAGCTAAAAAGTATAGGTTGTTATTGTTGAACGATATTATAAGTTTTTATAGTTGAAAACCATATTTGATCATTATTGAGTTAAAATGGTAGCCTTTATGCCTAAAATATCATCTATAACACCCGATTTCATATTTGTGGCTTGACATTTGATCTTCATCAAGATGATTTAACTTTTATGGATTTTTGACTGTCTTGAAGAACGGTTATTTGGTGTTTGTGGTGTGATTACATTGATTAAATAAAGACTACGATTTCTTGGTGACCATAGCGTGATACAGGTATGGACCACGACACGATGGTAGATAAAACCCAAAACCTAGGACTCGGGACTTGGGCCGTATTTAATGAATGTAAGGATTAGGGTTTTCTTATTTTTCAACCTTTAGATCCCAAAACTAAACCCTAGATCTATCTCCCTCTATCCCTTATGTTCTTGGTGTTTTGATTAGTGAAGCTTGTGTTGGTAGAAGGTGGTTCTTGTGGTCTTGAAGTCTTGTTCCAACATTCTCATCATACTACTGGAGCTATTTGAGGTATAAAGTCTCAAACTTCATTATTAGATTCTTAGGTCTTGGTATGCTAGTCTGGTACTCCAGGACAAGTCTCAAACTTGAGGATTGAGAACTCCAAAACCATATTTTGAGGTTTAATGACTTTTGGACTTATTGGTTGGCAGAAAAATGCATATGCATGCTTCTCATTCAAACTTGTTCATTAGATTCTTAGATCTTGGTTTTATGCAAGTCTCAAACTCCAGGACAAGTCTCAAACTTGAGGATTGAGAACCCCAAAACAATATTATGAGATTTAATGACTTCTGGACTTGTTGGTGGTAGATAAATGCATATGCATGCTTCTCATTTAATTTATGTTTGGAGATTTGTCCCTTTTGTCGTTAGGGTTTAAGATCTTGACTTATTGAATGGAATAAATGGATAAAGTTGGAAACTTTATCAACACAAAGGGTAAATCGATCTAGAATTGAGCTTTGAAGCTTTGGATTTAAGGGTTAATAGATTAATGGAATAAGCTGGTAGAGATGTTCATCGCGATGGGGTGGGGTACTGGCGACAACATGGTGGACTGTGAGTTTGTTTTTGTTTTTTCCTTTAATGACCATGATACGGCCAAGGGGATTGGTCGCAGTGCGTGATCGGTGTTGACTTTGACTGTTGACATTTTAACCATTTTGATTTTCGGTCAAACTTGGGAGGTTTTGAGCAATAGTATGAGGTTTAGCTTATGATTGATTTAAGCGGTTTGTGTAGTCGGATTCAGTTATTGACTCAGGTGAATCTGCAATTCAAGTATGCGAGAATTTGGTTTAGGTTCACTGCTTCATAAGTAAAGGAATGTAGGCTACCATTGAAGTACTCATGGTCAGGAAGTTTCCTCATTACGTTTCTCAAGGATCCATTGGAGTCATGATCTAAAGGAATTCAATAATTGGTCAAGGATGGGCGATTGAAGTAAAGGAATGTATTTTCGCATAAGCTTCGTTCAGTAGTGTGAGGGATCATTGGGTTTAGTTTGTCAATCCATTTTCGATTATTGGTTATCTCGTTCATCGTTAATAGCTTAGGTTGTTCGAAGGTTTTGGGTTGTATCCTATTCAAGGTGCAATTGATGCCCCAATCTTTTCGACAAGTTGTGTGAAGTGTATATCTTGGTTTTTGGGTATGTGTACCCTTAGTTTTCTGGTTGTGGAACTATTGTCCTAGCAGGATCTATTTTGGTAGCCATCCTTGGTTATTAGAAGTTCGGATGTTAAAGTGGTGTTGTTCAATTTTCCAGTTATGACATTGAGTCTACACATAGTTCAGTTTGGGATTTCACGTCTACAGGGTTGGTATTTAGGATCGATTCGGTCGTGGTTCTAAAAGTATTTCTGGATTATTTTGGAAATTTTATCGGTTAGCTGCGCATTGGTGGGATGTTGTTTCAGTTGTTTAGGATAATGTTCTTTTAGTACTTGAGGATAGTTATTTCGTTAGATCCACTAGTATGTCACCATTTAGGTAAAGTTTTAAGGGCAAACAGAGTCGTGAGCGAGTAACTGGTGGGATAGGGGTACCGCCCACAAAACCATACCTTAAACAACGGGTTGGGTGAGTTACTTCATTTATTTGATTCCAATGAGTTCCTAAACCCGCTATTTAATGCCTATTTCTTTGATTGCCTCTTTGACGAAACACAAAAGAAAAAAGATTTTCCTATTTTGTTTTGGCATAGTGCAATGAAAAGTAAATGTGATGATTCACTTGAAAGTAGAATTGATTTCTGACATTTTTTTTTTGTAGTTCATGCATCCATGAGTTTATTTATTTATTTATAAATATAACTTTGTCTAAATTAGCAAAACTTTAAATTAGCAAAACTTTATTTTTAATGAAAAATGTTATATTTTCTAATTTTATTAAATAAAAAATAATGATGTTACAAGTAAGCTGAAAAAGATATTGTTTTCATATGTTATGAATTAAGAAAGATAAAAAAATATAGAAAAAAGAAAAAATTGTTGGTAGGAAAGGACTTCTTCCTCCGTAAAGAAGAATAACTCCCTCCTAATAAAAAAGAAATGTAATGAATGTAGTGTTGGTTTTGTGTTTCCTTTGTGTGTGAGAGAGAGATGTTTATAGTGTGAAAATATGTATAAAATATACCAACAGGTAAAATTTAGTTTTTCTATTTTAGTTTTTTTGGTTAAAAGGGTCAAATGGTCACACATGACCGTTACTTTCTTTACTCTCTATCATTTATATCCGTAACACCACGCAACTGTTACATTTATATGAATCAATGTTCGGACAAATGTAAACCGTGAAGGCCTCACCTTTAACCAATGTTTTAAAACCCGGATTTTTAGTTGACTCGGTATGATGAGCGGTTCACGGATCAACCGGTTCAACCGGTTGAACCGTCGAGTCAACCCGGTTTATGATCTTTTTCTATTTTTATATATTTTTACTTTCATGCATAATGCATAAACATATAAAACCAATAATTTAATGTCCACAAAGTTTAAATATTTAAAAACATTGAAGAAACCACAAACGGCTCGTTGTTTTGGCGTTCGCTACTTGTTTTCAACTATTCAAATCCTATTAAAACGGGTCAATCCGGTTTTAACCGGTTCGACATAAGCGGTTGAACCACGGTTTAGAGGAAACCCGACCGGTTCGATCCGGTTCGTATTTTTACAAAAAACCGGTCTCAATTGACCCGCCTTCTATCCCGGGTCACGGTCCAACCGGTTGAACCGGCCGGGTCAACTCGGGTTTTAAAACATTGCCTTTAACGCTTGGTCTTACATGGCCATGCCCACAAGACTTAAATAACTAAAAGAAGTGCATGTTTTATTCTTTTTTTCTAATTTTAATTAAAAGTCTTACTAGTGGATAATTAGATATCAAATAAATAAAAATGACGACACCCTTTGTAAATTGCAAGTCAAGAGTCTTTTATACATTTGTTTTTTTAAGGAATGCTTAATAACGTGTTCGTTTGTACATAAGATAATAAATCATTATTATAATCTATAACTTGTGATATTGTTTTTTCTTTAGAACTGCAAAATATATTAAACTTGTGTTATTATTGAAGGGGGATCAAGTTTGTTGACTTGGCACTAAAAGGTAGGCCAATGGAAGGTGGTGGGTGAGTTGGTGAAGTCTCGATTTATAAATACTCCATTCCATCTCTTCAAACTTCCACACCCCTTCCCTCATTCAATCTCTCTTTCCTCTCACACACACAAACACACCAATCACAATGTCTCCGGCATCTGCCCAAGTAATCTGTGTCACCGGCGCCGGCGGATTCATCGCCTCATGGATGGTCAAATTGCTCTTGGAGAAAGGTTATATTGTCAGAGGAACTGTTAGGAATCCAGGTGGTTACAATTTCCAATCCACTTGTAATTTACAAAACGACTTTTGTTTTTTCTGTTGTGAATTGCTTAGTTGTGGTTTTCTGTTTATTGCTGTTTGTAGATGATGCGAAGAATAATCATTTGAGAGAGCTTGAAGGAGCGAAGGAGAGATTAACTTTATTTAAAGCTGATCTTCTCGATTTTGAAAGCTTGCGTGAAGCCATTAATGGCTGTGATGGTGTTTTCCACACTGCTTCTCCCGTCACCGATGATCCTGTATGTATTCGATCCAATGATGAAAACAGTAGAAAGTAGAGAATCGTTAATGAAAAAAACCGATCCGATTCTAGTTAATTGTGTGTTTACATATACTGACTGAATCGACTTTGACAGGAACAAATGGTGGAGCCGGCGGTTATTGGAACAAGGAATATAATAGTGGCGGCGGCTGAAGCTAAAGTCCGGCGAGTGGTGTTCACGTCGTCGATCGGAGCAGTGTACATGGATCCTAATCGGAGTCCTGATGATATTGTTGATGAAAGCTGCTGGAGTGATCTCGAATTCTGCAAAAACACCAAGGTTTGTTCTCTCACAATTTATGAAATTACATTTACAAAATTGTTCTCTTCAAAGTTCAAATTGTTCCCAATTTTTCCGGCGACATTGACAAATTGTTTACCTTTTCCCATTATCTGGTATGACTTGTTCATCGTTCCAACAACCGGAATGATTTTAAATTCACTGTTCATGAATTAGAACTTAAGCCATCAAAAATTGCATTTAATGTATCAATCAGTTTTTAAGTTTGCTATTAATTAGAGAATCAAATCATGAAGGATGTTTGCAATTCCACGTCACTCTGTTTGTGGGTTCTACATACTTTACTATTTTATTTTTTTCAAATATCTTACATATGTAAATCAAATTTTTTCTAACATATTTAAATATCTATAAATATGAATAGACAAAATAAATATTTTTAAAGAAAAAGAATGAAAAAAAGTTTGTTGTATTGGAGTTGTTATTTCCACTTGAGAAAAAGGAGGGGTAGTGGTGCACCCACCAACTATTTACTAAATAATATTTTCTCTATTATTGTCATCCAAAAATTAAAATTTAAAATTTTAAAATGGAGTAAATATTGGTACGCATTTGCATACGTATAACTTATGTGTGCATGACCATTTTCTTTCTGCATAATCCACTTGTATGTTGCGCATACATATATGCACAAGTATATATATATATATATATTTACTATTATCGTTCTAATATGTCATGTAGCTAAAATGAAAATTATATTCTCGTCACTGGTAAAAAAAAAAGTTATCATGAATGTAAAGAAGAACATACACAATAATAAGTTAATTACATTCTATATTGCAAAAAAATATTTCGTTGAACATGAAAATAAAGGATATAATGTTTCTTTCAAGTTAAAAATTCTTGATCATAGATAGCAACAAAGGAAAGAAACAAAATATGAGTATGTATCTAAACGAGTAATATGTTGGTGAGAAATGTATATTTTTGGCATCAAATCATGAATTGTTCCTTTGAAATTACTTTTGACTTATGAAGTAAAAATAAATGAATATTAAATATTATTTGTTACAACAGAACTGGTATTGCTATGGAAAGGCGGTAGCAGAGCAGGCAGCATGGGACGAAGCTAAGGCTCGAGGTGTTGACTTAGTAGCATTGAACCCAGTGTTGGTATTGGGACCACTATTGCAACCCACAGTCAACGCCAGTATTATTCATATCCTAAAGTACCTCACTGGTTCTGCAAAGACATATGCTAATTCAGTACAAGCATATGTACATGTACGAGATGTCGCGTTGGCTCACATTTTACTCTTTGAGACCCCCTCGGCTAATGGTCGATATCTATGTGCTGAAAGTGTTCTTCATCGTGGTGAAGTTGTCGAAATTTTGGCCAAGTTTTTCCCGGAATACCCCATTCCCACTAAGTAAGTCCCCCTTTCCTATTTCCTATTTAAAAAAAAATATATTGTATAGTTATGACATTTTAGTGAACAATGTTTGACCTTATGATTAATTAGTCCAAGTTTTTCACCTACAAAACAAACCCCAATTATGAAAATAATAATAATAATAATTAAGAATTTAGTGGCTAAGATGAACCCTCACCAACTCCAAATATCCTTATCAACACTATCGTGGTTTCTTGTCTTTGGTGGCTTTTTATGAATGTGACCTACACACCAACTACAACTCATGTTCTCTAAAAAAGTTATTAGGTGTGTGTTATTTTTATAGGATGGGTATTAATTATTATAAAATATTAATTAATTTCAACCTTGGATAAATTAGGTAGGTTATTTCCCACCAACACGTGTTGAAAATTGAAATTGATTTTTTTTATTTTTTTTTATTTTTACTAAACAATATATAATTTTTAAATCTTTGTAGATGTTCTGATGAGATAAAGCCAAGGGCAAAACCATACAAATTCTCAAACCAAAAGCTGAAAGATTTGGGTTTAGAGTTTACGCCGGTGAAACAGGCGTTATACGACACCGTTAAGAGCTTACAGGAAAAAGGTCACCTCCCACTGCAACCAACTCCCACCGAGGATCAAATCCGTATCCAGTCATAATAGTATAGCTTTTAAGTTTTAATTGCAATTTACAAAAATCTCCCTAAGCAAGCAAAATATTCACATGTCATTGTTTACTTATGTTTTATCTGTAACACATCCTCCGTTGTCATGTAAAGTGAAACGCGCGAGGAGTTATAAAGTTAAATATGAATATGGAATTAAGTTTGTAATCATAATATAATAGCCTGTGATTAATTTATTTATATCGAACATGTTAGAGGTGTAACAAAGTCAAGTTGCATCATCATCTTGATCTTGGTTATGATTATGATGAGTGTTTCTAGTATGAGGAAGTTGCATGCTAGCTATGTCTTCTCTTGGTTGACCATATGAAGAAGCAGAAGCACTACGTTGTTCGGGAGTTTTAAGTGCAAGAAGATGTGATGACTCTCTGTTTTTACGCACCACTAAATACCCAATTCCAGCTAAATAAATTAAAAGACCTGAAAACCCTAAAAACCCACTGAAGATTTTCCCCACTAGTGGTAGGTGTCCATGAACAAGTAACGAAATGAGATGATCCACTAGAAAGTAAATGTTTATTCCCATAATTAGTGACCCGATCACCCAAGTGATTGCGGAAATCTGAAATATTTTAAAGTAAAATTTATGTTATTTTTTTTATGAAGAGAATTAACTATTGTTGGTTTAAAAATGGAAATGTATGCTTACAATCTTTGAGTTGGCATATGATCCCATTTTTGTTTCGCTACTTGTGAATTTGAGAAGAGGGACGAGAGCAAACGGGAGTTCAAAAGACAATATCATCTGCCACACATTAATTATTACTATTATTATTATTATATATAAAATAATATATTTTTCTATATTTATCAATTTAATGTAATTTTCTGATTAATCATTTAACAACCGATGCTATTCAATCAGACCAAAGAGATAAAGTTCAAAAGCCACTAACCGAAGCTATAATAATCAACCTCCCAGCTCCAGCCGAGCCGCCTATGAGAGCCACAATTAGACTCGGGATAATAGCTAAACACCTGGTCAACAAGTTTCTAAGCCATGGCTTCATTCGTAGCTCAAGAAACCCCTACAACCATATCATATCATATTATAATTACACAAATACCTTTTTTTTGAAAATTTATACAAACAAAAAAATATATATAAAAAATAAACCTGCATAACGTATTGACCCGCGTATGTTCCGGTTATTGTGGAGCTTTGACCTGATGCCAGCAAGGCAATTGCAAAAAACTTGGAGCTCCATTTGCCTAAAACATTCTGTAAATAAATATTATAACAAGTGTCAATATACAGAATGAAAACAGAAACATAAATAAATAAAATATCATTTAGAATAAAATTACTACTTACTTTAAGCAAAAAGGAAGCTTTATTTAAGTCCAAATCTTGACAACTTTTTTTATCTTCTGGATTTAAATTTGAAGAACTGCAAACTGAACCGCTTACAGATATAACAGATATATTTATAAGGAAAGCCACTGCAAGGGCTATCCCACTTTCTATCAAGTAAAATCTGCAAGCTTCCTGTAAACATAAGTTTTGTTAAAACATTTCTTTAATAGTGAATAATGAATTTTAATAAAATGATGTTGAAAGAATGATTTTAGAAGATGGGAAAAGTTTACCTTAATACCACTGACTGATCGGGGTATTTTCCTAGAAAGTACAAGAGCTGAGTGGAGGAAAAGATTGTGACTGCATCAATGGAGAAAAATTGTTTATGAATTGCTTGCAATTGCAACTGTGGAATGACATCACAAAGGAATGGAATGGAATGGAATGAGTCATTACGTTCCATGATTCCAATATTCCATGATCGTGTTTGGTTGGTTGGTGTGTAGGAATAGAATGAGTTTAGATATGAAATTTTTGCATAGTATTAAAATATTAATGTATGGGTTTTTAACTCTATTGTATACGTTATTCAATTATAATTAATAATTTTTTTATTTACAAAATTAAAATCTAGACCCTAATAAAACCTCACTAAAACAAAAAAAAATGGTGCTAATTACAAAGATATAACCAAAATTACCACCTTCTCAAATTTTACTATATAAAAAACCACCCATTTCAATATATATATATATATATATATATATATATATATATATATATATATATATATATATATATATATATATATATATATATGTATATATATATATATGTATATATTGGAAAAGTGCTTTTTTGGTATAGTTTTTTGTGATTTTTTTTTCGGGAAATAACATCATTTTGCTAAAAAGTGATGTCGTTTTCTAGAAACAAAAAAAATATACTGATAAAGCAATTTTGCGAAAAAAATTATTTTGTGACATTTCCTTCCCATTGTGGTTACTTTTTACCCTAATAAAATTGTTAATCGATTGAAATCATAAATTTTTAAAAATATTTGTGTCATTACAAATCACAAAAATAAAAAGGGAAACCTATAGAAAAATCCCGAACTTTTGGGAAAAGTTTCAATAAAGTTCTAAAAGTTTTTTCTTGAACAGAAAAATCCTATTGTTTTGAGAAAATCATATAATCTGTCATTTGCTGTTCAAATATTATAAAAAAAAAAAAAAAAAAAAATCTTTTTCGTTAATTTGGGCAAAATGTTAAACAATCGGGACTTCTCTGTTTAAAAAAAAACTTTAGGACTTTATTGAAACTTTTCTGTAGATTTCCCAAATAAAACGAGTTATGTTCCAAGTTCTCATTCCATTCCATGATGCAAAGACAAAAAAAGAAAAAAAAAAAATCCTGGCTAAGGTATGCAAATTAACAAAAAGGAAGGAATCACATTCCATTCCATTCCATTCTATGAGTCAAAACAAACAACTTTTTTTCCATTCCATCTTTTGATTCCTTCATCCCAAACACTCCTTTAAATAAATAAAAAATTGTTAAATAAAAAATAAAAAAACTTACGGCATGACCATAGCACCAAGGAGTGAAATTGCAAGACCAGTAGAGCCACTGCCTTTAAGTTGAGGGACAAACATTCCATACAAAACTTCTGAAGCTTTTGGTTTTGAAATCCCAAGCTCAACAAGAAAACATGCAGCTATTGTCAACACCAAGAAAGTAATCAAGAACTCAAGTTTCCTCACCTATACAATTATTAAAAAAAAAAAAAAACATCTCATTTTATTAAAAAAATAATCCAACCTAATCATGTTCAAAATAAATAGAGTAATTAAGTCAAGTAGTAAGTACTCCATATTGCTGTAGTGCAAGTAGACCCAAAGTGCTAAAACCTGTGAGAAGTACACCACACCATACTGGAATATGGAACAACATATTCAAAGCAAATGCTGTGCCAATTACTGTAACCATGAAAATAAAATCAATATCACATGATTTTTGAATAATTTAACTGATAAGAACAATAATAAAAAAGTTGTAATACCTTCAGGAATATCACATGCCACAATGGAGATTTCAGCAAGAATCCACAAGATATAATTGGTTCCCTTCTCATACTCATTCTTGCAATGCTCGGCTAAATGCTTTCCTAGAGGATAATACAAAATATATGGATATAATTTCAAAGGAGAAAGATGGATTAAAATTGGAAAAAGGGTAAAAATGGAATACCTGTTACAACCCCTAAGTTTGCTGCTAGGGATTGGATGACAAGTGCAGCACATGAAGCCACCAATATAATCCAAAGCAACTGGAAACAAAAAGGAGGAAGGATTGATGTGAGTTTATAATAAGAGACATGAAATTTTTATGCAAAGATTTTATAAACTTGAGTATGGACAATATATAAGCACCTCATACTTGTATTGAGCTCCTGATTGTAAATCAGTTTCAACTGCAAGAATATGAAATCAAGATCAGATGTGCCCTCTACATAAATGATTGGTAAATCAGTATCATACAAAAGATGGATCATAATTCATACAGTTTCCAGGATCGATGTATGCAATGGAAACAAGAAACCCAGGGCCCATGTATGAGAATAGGTTTTTCCAGCTTGTTTTCTGCATATGCAAAACAATTGAATCTCATTTTTCAATGATAAAATTCCACTTGAAATAAAAAATTTAGCAGCTCAAATTTGATATCAGATGATATACTTGAGATAAAATAATAATTCACTAGAAGGTCATTAATATAGTCAGATTAGAATCTTATAAGGTGAAAAGAGGAGGCATATTATGTATTTAATTATTGATTAACTCCACTATTATAAAAAAAGCTTGGAATAAATTCACACAAAGTTTAATATTCATTATAACTAGATCAGAAAAGCTTGCTTAAAGTATACTTCTAATCCTTCACACGGATTAACAAAATTTAAGGAATAAATCATTTCAAATAAAAGCCATTAGATTCAAATTTGGAATCGAAACGCTAGCTAATGAGTAATGAGTACACGAAATCTCAAATTAAACAAATTGACAATTGTCGTAAACCTAAAATCGTGTATACAGAAAAGCTAGAACATAAATTCAAAGAGAGAGATATAAGATTCCTAAATCGATAACAAAATCGTAACAACGATCATATTAGAAAAGATCAGAAGAAAAGAAAAAAAAAAACTTACATCAGGAACAACAATCTGATTAGGATCAGAACTCTTAATTAGCGGCGCATTAGTCATGAACTGCGATTGCTGAGAAGACGTCATCGCGGCCAGGTTTCCCTGTTTTACTCTGTTCTGATTGCACTGCCAATATCAAACGCCTTCCAGCTACTGAATTCATAAAAAAACACAGAGAAACCATGAATTCAAACATCAAATTCAACCATCAACCATGCAATGTGCTGCAATGAGAAAATGCACACAAAACTATATGTAGAAGTAGAATACGAGTTCAGATCTAAAATCAATTAACAGAAAACAAAAATGATTCGTACAAACCAAAATTACATATACAACAGTTTCCACACAACAACTTCAGTAAACAAGATCAGGTATCAAGATAAGCTTATTTGCAGTGATTGCGTGTGCGTATGTGCAGTTTCGACAGTAGGAAACCTTATTTGCAGGTCGAAGAACGGAAGAACATATGATGTGATTGAGGATTGAAGAAGGCTGATGCATGTATCGTTTACAGATTGAAGAAGCTTCCTGCTGCTGATCTTCCTCGCCGTTTTCCGACTTGAATGCCTACTTCAAATCGCTCGTCCATTTTATAGGAGTTGCTTAGCAAGTTAGCAACAGTGCTCTTTTTTCACTTGCACATTCCACCCCTTCCACATATTATTTTATATGATTCCAGCCCCTATTTTGGATATTGTTTTGATATTGGTTGCAAATTTAACATATCATCATAAATAATACATTTAGCGAGCTTTTGTTGGTTATTTATTTATTAAATGAATTAAAGGAAATAGTTTTTTTTATTTATTTATTTTTTTTTTTGTCATCTTTAAAAAAGTTTACAATTATTTTTATTGAATAATTATATACAAATAAAAATTTAAGTTTTAGTTTTGGTAATCGTCACTAGTTTTGCCAATATATAAAAAACGAATCTTAACTTGCTTTGATATGCTTTACAATTAATAAACTTATCAAATTATTGGAAACTGTGTATTATAACTTTATTGTAATAATTTGTTCTAATTTTGTTTATAAGCTATAAAATTAATTGTTATTAACAAGTTTAGTATTGAGGGGTATTTGGGATTGTTTTGAACATTAAAAGTTTTTTTTGGTAGGACTTTTTATAGAAAAATGTTATGTAAAAGATGATATTTAAAATGTATTTAGATTAATAAAATGACTTTTGGTCTAACTTAAAAAAGTTACAAAATATGATTTTTTGAAACTTTTTTTTTATTCTTTGCAAAAGTCATTAAATTTTTTTTTGAGTAAATTACACGAATGGTCCCTATGGTTTAGGGTCATTTGCGCGTTTGGTCGCTAACTTATTTTTTTAACTCGGAAAGTCCCTACTGTTTGTTTTTGTTACGCGCTTGGTCCCTGTCTTATATAAAAAGTCTATTTTTTCCTTTATTTTTTAATTTATTTAAATAAACACACCCTAATCTCACCCTTCTCACCTTACCTTATGTACACCATCATTTTTTCCTATTTAAATTATAGTCTTTTTAGGTATGATAAGGACCAAATGCGTAACAAAAACAAACAATAGGGACCAAATACATAATAAAAACAATCAGTAGGGACCTTCCGAGTTAAAGAAATAAGTTATGAACCAAACGCGCAAATTACTCCAAACCATAGGGACTATTCGTGTAATTTACTCTTTCTTTTTTAATTATCCAAATAACTTTTGTTTTTTTTTGACTTTTTAAAAAAGTTAAAAGTTAAAAAGCCTAATGCCAAACACTTTGGATTACAACAAAAGTGATTATATATATATATATATATATATATATATATATATATATATATATATATATATATTAGTTTTTCATTATAATTCTATTCTAAGACTTTTCACTTGTTTGCTCACCATTAATAATTATACTAATATAAAAAGAAGATCATCAACACTGTAAATGACTTCAAACAAATAAATCACATGTAAATGACTTAAATAGTTGACTGATGAACTAATTATAAGTTCAAAGAAAAAAACATCATGTAAACATTCAATCCTTTTTAAAACTGATTGTTCCATTATAATTATGTATTTTCACATTTTTTTTTTAATTTTTTAATTTATACATCTAAACAGCTGCTTAGTGTTGGGTTTTCCTTTTTTGCTTTATAAAGACCTTGAGACAAGAAAGCCATATATAAAGAGAGTGGTGTTTAATGTATTGCTTAATGCATTTGACAACATAAGTACAAGATTCAAACTCAAAAGAATTACATCAAAGCAAATGTGGGTGTCATTTTCTTGATGTGAATATAAAATTTAAATCCAATAAAAAAAAATGAGGCGTATAGGTACTCGTTAGTGAACCTTGACATCATCCATACCAAGTGAAAAGTACCATGGCATTAAGAAGGTAGTTGTTGCTATTATTTATGTTTGATTCTCAATTTTAATCCATTTGAATACAACTTTTCACACTTCTGACATGAAAATCGTCATATGCCAAATTTGTGTCACTTTGTTATGAGCTATACTTGATATTTAACTTCGATTGTTTTGCAACAACCCATATGTGATGATCAAACTATTAATACGAAACATGCCTAAAAGATAAAGGTTTGTTGTATTTAGATGTACGTTTGTCCGTATATAAACAACCAAATTTCTTTGACTTGATAAGTGCACTTTGCAAAAATGGGCACAAGTTTGGACCACAGGGTAAGCTCACATCGGTCCTTACAAACAGTCACAAGGGGTGGATATGCAAGGCCTAGCGGCCCTCGACCACTAAAAAATTTGTTTTTCAATTCACACCATGATAATTTTCTAAATATAGGATTTGCTTTATGTCAATATATTTATTATATAAAATAATACATATAAGAAAAGGTTATACAAATATAGCTCATAGAATATCCCTATGAAAACATTCAATCCAAACATATTAAAGAAATACTCTTATAAGGGTTTTAGTGTATACTAACTAAATTCTATTGTTTTAAAACTATGGGTTGTTTAGAAGCAAAAAAACTTACCCGTATGAGTTTAGGGGTATGAGTTTAGGGCTGAAAAGAGTTTGTGCTCGGGTGGGGGTGGGGGGAATGCAGAGACAAGGTAACTGAGGATATTGACCTTCTCATGTAATGAATATAATAAGAAGCTCGGGTCGAAACTCATAGCTCAAACTCAATAGCCTACCTTCGGTACAGAACTATGACCTACGACCACCCAAGTATGAAGGAATTCTCCACTTAATTAAGGAAGGTGTCAGAGATAGGGGATCAAAGCAGTGGAAAAGCAAGGGAACGAGGTGGCCAAAAGGAGGGTTTGGTAGGGTAGTGAGACCAACAGTGAAACATAATCAATATGGAGTATGTAGGGTCGGCCCAAGGGTTGGGCGAGGTGGGCCACGACCCAGGGTAGCAACATATCATGGGGCATCATGTTTTATCCAACTCTTATATGTATACATCTCATTTGGGCCAAGAACGTGATCCATAAAAATAGTTCAGCTTGTAAGGAAAGGGGCGAAGCGCAAGGGCGTGACTGAAAGACTAAAAGTGAAAGAAGCGATAGATGCAATTCTTGATCGGCTAAATAACTACACGCCTTACTAATTATTGAAGAAGGCGAGGAGACTGGGATTCAGGAGAACTATGATGCGACCTTTGAGATTTTTTCGATTTATATGGTCGTATGATTCTTTCTTTCTGCATCTTGATTTTTTTTCTTAGTTTCTTTAATACAAAGGGCAACTAGCTTCATTGAACTCATGGGAAATGGGAAGAAATTGTTTTCCAACCTAATATGAAGGATGTAGAAGAGATACTGGATGTAAACATCAAAATCGACCTCCCAAACTTTCTATAAACTTGAAACGTTGTAGATGGAAGCTTTCTATATAGTGATATGCCCATATATTGGTAACTAGATTGGTTTGTAGAAATAAATCAGAAATCGCCCTAAATCTATGTTTTGAAACCTTTGGTAGTCTTCGATTGCTGATGTAATTTTTTATTTGATATCCGATTGTTTATTTATGTATTTAATATTTTTTATGACATTTCTTGAATGTGAATGTGATTAGTTCTTATTTATTAGTTTGCTTGTTTATGATTTTTGCTATTTGATTTTTCATCCACAGTTCAATTTGTGAATTTGCATATTCGTTTTGATTCTTTTATGATCTTTAATATTTAAATGTTTACATGTTATTAATATTATAAATTCATATTGGTTTTGATTTTGAACATATAATTCTTGATTTGAATTGCATTTAGTGTGCTTCATAAGTAATAAGTGTTTGCCAAAGAAGTTAATAATGAAAATTAGTTTTCATTGTATTGAGTTGGTACTACCTCGTACTTATATTGTATTAAATTGGTCTTGCATGTTTTGTATTTTTCAATACAAATTTCTGAATGATTTTAATTTTTTGGACATCATAATAATCATTAAAAATTTGTTTTGAATCCCTCCATTTGTTTAAATTATAAAAGTCATCAAAAAGTCAAATTTTATAAGTTCATATGTTTGTTTGGATTATTATTTTGATAACGTTTTGTTATATATGTGTTTTGATAATTTGGGATCTTTGAAAATCACATCATCTTGAAGATCCATGATTTAAAATATCTGCAGGAAATCACCATAATAAGGAGCTTCGTAGTTTTCTGACAACTAGGAAATTCGTAGTGTGAAATTAGTGATGTAATTTATTTTAAATATCTATCAATTTTGGTTGCAATTCTACCTACTTATGACATGTGAAACCTATGTAGTAAATGCGTTCAGATATTTTTAATTTTGAGTGATGAGGGCAATGTTGTTAAGTTGTTGAAATTTCATGCATTAAAATTCTTGATGGTTTTGCTATAGAAAATTGTATGGTACTTGAGTTTTTTTGGTTGTATGAGACTAAAATGGCTTCTTGTATGCTACAATGATGGGGCATAAATTAGTTTTTCCACCCATGGTATATAAAACCTTTGGACCGGCCCTGGGAGTATGCGAAAGATCCATTGACACACAAAGGTAGAAGTCGGGTGTATATTATATAACATAGCTACTGAATTCACAAAGATTCCTTCCTCTTTTAATTTAAGCGAGGGACTCGCCTGAAGGAAAGAGAGTACAACCTTCAACTCCCAAGATATATCATATAATATAACATGATGCCCTTCAGAAGGATTGGAGTTATTTTCCTCCACTCCATAAAAGCAAGAATCGTGAGATGACAGATGTCACCTAATAAGGCTAGTAGGGCCCTAGTCCTGTAACCATTTAGAAAGGGCAATAAGAATTCCTAACTAAGAAGTCACCATGTTTGAGCTCGCTAATTAGAAATAAAAGGTTATATTGCAAGATAGGCTCTTTGATCTTATGTTTGGTGAGCAAAAGATTTCTTGTATCATGGAACTTTTGCCTTATGTGAATATAACGGAGGAGGCGTATGAGTTCCTTGAGGGTAAGGTGGATCCGGTAAGCTACGGGGCCTGATGTGCGGATAATAGTCTAATTAATTAAACTTAATTCGAGTTACAAATCTAGTTTTAAATTTATAATTCCTAACAAACTCAACTGACTATTAGCATTAGGCAGTGTACCTGATCAGATATAGTATTAGTCAAAGTAAGTAAGGATGTTGAACTCAAAGGGAATTGAAGTGTACTAATTA